TTAGAATCAGATCAATTCTGATCAGTATGTTATCTTTTTCTAGATTTATCTTGTTATGTCTTAGATCTACCCTAGTTTGAAACTCTATTTATGTATCGTTTTTCATCAGTAAAGATTATCAAGCTGAGAAACATTTTTTCTCTGCCTTTTTTTTTATAATTTTTTTTACGAAAATGAGGGGCAGATATATGTAAAGTGAGATGGTAAGAGTCCCAAATATTATAGAGCATTGCAATTTTTAGGCAGACCTAGCCAATTCGGCAGCCAATAGCCAGTTTCAAAGATTCATGCGACATGTCAAGTATAGGTTTTTTGGCAAGAACCTTCACTTAAATACTTCATTATGATAAGTTACGTCTACCTATCCTTAGTAGACCAAGTCTAATCTTTCATACAACATTGTTTGACAATTCATGTACGGTGTGTTGAGAATTGCAGGATACTCTTGAAGATCTCGCTGATGCATCTGGAACGGATTTTGAGATTCCTGCAGGTTTTGATGAGCAGGTACTTTTCACTATCTTGTGATCTACAGCACACTTTACACAGAAAAACACAATCAACATGGTCATGTCATGTTCAACACGTCACTAATGGATATCTAAATGAGACTGGAAACTCTACCCCAAAGTTAGTTGTCAAGGTGGGAGAACCAGTCAACATAAATACCCTATTGAGTATCCTATTCTGCTTAATGTGAGACTTGGTATCTCATACGACATGCTTATATTTTGTCCCAATGTAGTGTCTACCTGTATTTTCCGGTGGACGTTCTAGCTTGTGATGGAACTTGGGTGTCTTCTGGTCTAGCTGGGGTTCAAAGCCTTAATGTACAAGTTACTTGTTCAAGTTCATAATACAATACTGAATTACAGATTGACATTGATGATTCCAACTTGAAGACCTACTGGTTATGAGGCGGAGATAGTGCGATGCGCCCTCTATGAGTTTGCCCTGCACCCCATGTGAGTTTTTCTTGATGACGACAATTGCGAGGTGCTGGTTCAGACTAACTTCGCTCTTCCAGAGATGGCTTCTGTTTTATAATGACAATTTCTGGAAGCGCCGTGGAATATGATTGTATACATGCAGTTTTCTTGCACATTAGAGTTTCTGTATATCCTCCCATCTGTATCGGATTTAATTATTATAATGTGAATAGTTCAGTTTTTGCCTACAACTTCTTTTCTCTTCCATTACTCTTAATGGTGGTTTGACGTTTTCTTTGTGCCAAAAATTCTTCAAGGTCTACTAGATGAAAGTAACACCGTAATTATTGTGCTTGATGTATTTAAATGCAGATAGATGACTGCTGTGCATTATATGATTTTTTTTTTTTAACAAAACTTTTGTAAGTTGCATGCAGGGACACATGAATAAAACAATGTTATAGATTTTACCATTTATAAATGAAAAATTGGTAGTGAACGGTTGATAATGAATGGTGATTGATAAGCGAAAATGAAACAGTATGGTTTGACTTTGAAGTTTATACTAAGAAAAAGTATGTAATCAGTAAAAAAGTATCACAACAAATGGGAAGCATCTAATGATAAGTATTAGCAGATTTTCTTGTTAATTTGTTAATAGAACTTTTTGGCAGGTATCATTTCTGTTTCTTAATATATAAGAATGAGTTTGAATTTCAATTTGGTTCTAAGTATAATATCTCAATTTATTTTGTTTCTTATGTTTATCTATTTTTTTAAAGTTATCTTTATAATAATAGTAGTTCTAGTTAATGCACTTGATTAATAAGGATCTTTTAGAAAAAAAAACAATACCTATGTATTACAAATAATTAACTTAATTAATTTTTTTATTTTATTTAAATTAATTAACTAGTTCTTATATTAAGGATATGAAGGAGTAAAACCTCTGATTTTTCCTATTTCCTTGTCCAAATCCCTAACAACTATCGAACTGTCTTCCCCCCTTCCACGTAACATTGCATGTTGGACAGCCACCGTTATTGGGCAGGTTGCGAAGTGTTCTGTGTTGGTTGGTCATGAGTCCGATATGCATCACCAACCAATGAAGAACAGCCACGGTTGGTGCCAGGCGAATTGTTGACTTTCAGTCAACAATTTTTTGTTCCCATTATAAGGGTGTATTTGGCTCAATAGAGAGGATGGGAGGGGACGGATTTTAATATAGGAAAAGGAGATAAAAAGAATGGGAGGAATTTTAATATTACTTTATTTGGATTAATACGCGGGAGGGGAGGAAAGGAATTTTAATGTTACTTTGTTTGGTTTAGGAAGGAAGAAGAGGCAAAATATTTTTGTATGTACAACTTTGTTTTTATTATTTAAGTTGATTTTTACAAACTTTATAGAGTAATATAATTATGAATAATATTTAATATATGAGATCAACTTTTTATAATTAGCAAAATTAAATAATATATTGATAATACATAATTAATAGCTACTATATATCCAATAACTATAATTGTATCTATATCCAAAATCTGGTCTAATGAAGAAAACATGTTTAATTTGAGTATGTTTTTTTCAGCTTTTATTTTTCTTGGTGTTGTTGATACGGGTAGTCAAATAACTTTTTCAAAGACCATATAGATAACTTATTTGTATTTTTTTATTTTGAATACTTGATTTTTTTTTGCAAATTAAAATATATTTAAAGCAACTTTTTAAAAAAAAATATTTGATAGTATATAAATGAGAGAAGAGAGGCATGGCTGAATCCATAAATATACCAAATCACATACAATTCAATAGTGAAGGGGGATATAAGATTATTAGAAAATAATGAGCATATTAGTCAACACAAACCAAAATATTATCCTTTTTCTCTAAATTCCCCTAATTTTGGAGGGGAGGAAAAATGTTAAAAAAATTTCTCTTCCCTCCTAAAATTTTTATCTTACCAAATAAAAAAAAATAATTAAAATCTGTCCTCCTCTCTCTCTTTCCCTACAAATCCTTCATATCAAACAGACGGTAAGAGAAGCCATTCAAAACGGTCCCTATTGCGATTGTATGACAAAAATCTTTAAATAACTCCCCAGATGATCCCAACTCGCCACCGCCATGCGTTGTTCTTAGAGAAGACCGTTGTGTTGCCACTCCTTCCCTTCCTAAATATAGCAAGCAAATTACGCAGATCATGAAGCATTGTCTTTGTTAGGTTTTTTTTTTTTTTTTTGGTTTGGTTTGGTATAAATTTGTTCCGAGAGTTTTTATGTAGAAGCACGGAGCACTTGAAAGGTTTTTTTTTTTAATGCAAATTTGTTTTGAAAATTTAAAATAATAGTAATATTGTTTCTTATCATTAAAAAACTAAATGCTAACTGTTAAAATACTATTAACATTATTGATGGTAAATGATAATATTGTTATGATTTTAAATTTTTATGAAAAATTTGTACCCAAAAAAAATTTTGGTTGCTTAGCTCTTAAGTGAAAGTTTTCGGAACAAATTTGCATATTAACCCCCTTTTTTATCCTTTTCAAATTTTCTTCTAATTAAATAGGGGTGTTGTTGAAAAACATCATTTATTAAGACGGGGAAACATTATTAAATAAGGATATTTTTCACTTTTAAATTATCATAAAATTCTGAACTATGTATTATAATAAGGGACATAGATTAAAGAAAACTATGTATCATATTTAAGTTATAGGATGTATAATCTTTGAGATAACTATTAACATATACATCTAAGAGTTTATCTTAGCTCAAATCGTAACGATGGAGCGTAATGTCAGTAAAATTAAGAGTCTAACTAATTTTGGAGTATCTAAAAAAAAAGTTATTGGTAGCTAATGTGTTCAGAATTTGTTAGAATTTTTTTAAAAAAAATACTATTATCATTTAATGATTATAATTTAATGTGTACAGATAAAAATGCCTCAACAAATAAAGGTATTATGTGAAAGAAACAATTAATTTATGAGACAAAAATGTTTCACTTGAAACCAACATTTTGGCTAAAGTTTAACCATATCGCCTGTGGCAATGTTTTAACTTGCACTTCTCTTCCTCTTTTCTAATCATCTTTTAATTGGGTTAACATGCTCAATTAGTATTGTTTGCATGATTTTGTCAAAACCCAATAGTTTTATATATCTTTACTTATGTTTGAATATAATTATCCTTTTATTAAAAAAAATTTACACCTCTCTCCCTCTCTTTCAATTTACAACCGCTTGTATGAAATGTTTTAGATTTATTTATATATATCTTTAAATTCTCAATTATAATTTCATTAGATGCTAATTTGAATTATTCAAATCAAATATGAATTAGTCTAAATTCAAACCGAAAAAGGAATATAGTCAAAAGGATTTGATTGGCAGTTAGTTACCCCTTCCCCAATCCTTCCAATACTCTAAAATTATATTAAATTTTAATAATGTTAACATACAAATAACTTTTTAGTATGAAAATACTACCTCCTGTTCTTATTATAAGACTTAGTTAACTAATTTAAAAAAAATTAAAAAAATTAAAAAAATTAGTTAAGTTAGTTATTTGTTAGAAGACCTAGTAACATGATTTTTTTAATAGAAAAATATTTAGTGTTGTAGGAAAAAAAAGTATTATGGTAAATACTAATTGGTTTTTTATAAATATTTTCAGTCTAAATTAAAAAAGAAAAAGAAATATAATCAAAAGGATTTGATTGGCAGTTTGTTACCCCTTCCCCAATCCTTCCAATACCCTAAAATTATATTTTGTTTTAAATTTTTAATAATGTTAACATACAAATAACTTTTTAGTACGAAAATAATATGATTTTTTAATAGAAAAATAATTAGCGTTGTAGGAAAAAAAAGTATTACGGTAAATACTAAGTGGTTTTTTATAAATATTTTTGTTGAATATATATATGTAATCTGAATATTGTTACATAAAAATTGATTTACGTGAATCAGCAATTTGATTGTGGTTTCCTACCCCTTCTCCACGCATTACATATGCTTGTGTGTGTATATAGCTTCTAAAACTACAGGGCCACTCAACTGAAGCTTTCAGAATACGAACGTATATATACTCAACTGAGGCTTCTCTGTTCCTCTCCTTCCGCATCCAGTCACACATCTTCATTCACTCCGTCCTTCATTCTCTTCTCTTTTCTCTTCCCGAAATCGAAGGGATCCTCCGTTCCTGCCATGGCGGACAACCCTGTTGTTGTGGCTCCTTCTACATCGTTATCTGGGGCTGCTCCTCTTGGCTCCTCGGTCATCTCATTGGTCAACCGGCTTCAGGATATCTTCGCCAGGGTCGGAAAACAGTCCACCATCAACCTCCCTCAGGTGGTTGTCGTTGGTAGCCAGAGTAGTGGCAAGTCCAGCGTCCTTGAGGCTCTTGTAGGTCGGGACTTCTTGCCCCGTGGAAATGATATTTGCACCAGGAGGCCGCTCGTGCTGCAGCTTGTGCAGACTAAGATGAAGCCTGATGGCACCGAAGAGGAATATGGCGAGTTTCTGCACTTGAACGGGAAGAAATTCTACGATTTCTCTGAGATTCGCAGGGAAATTCAGGTGCTTTGATGTCTTTGTCGTTATTAGTGATCTGTGTCCTTTTTTTGAGTGGGAATTGCTTCTATTTTAGTAAGGGTAAATAAGTGTGAAATTGCCTCTAATTTCAGGTGCTTTGGTTCTTTTCATTAAGGTGTATTTTTTTTTTTCCCGCTTTTTGGTGGCCAAACTAATTTATTAGTAGTTCGGGAGCGATAAATTTGTATTCTTGGCTATGAGAAGTTTCTTTCCTTATCTTGGGGTTGAAATGCTAGGAATGTAGTTTAATGCCCGCTACTGCTAGCTCGCGAAATTATACTATAAGTGAGAATTAGTTTTTGGATTGCGAGACAGGAATTATAGTGTCTGCTTATGCAAGGCCATTTTGAGTTACACGAGTTACAATTTGCTTTCTTCTTTTTTAATTAGTTTTGTCCATTGGTTTGAATTGACCAGTTGATGTGGCGACGGAAGTGAGAGAATCTGGTGTTTAGGTTTCCTCCCATCCGTACCATTATGCATTTTGGAAATTTGTGGTGCTTTTGCTTTCTGATGTGCCTGTAGGTATTTTGAAGTTGAAACAATAATGGGTACGCTAACAAGCGTGTATAACCGGGGCTAGATAGGATGTGAGACTTTTAAATTCCTGGGAATCTTAGATGGTTTGATGCCTTAGTTTCAGTTCGAACTAAGGATACCACACGCCCACCCCATTGAAGCTCATGAAAAAAATTTAGTATTGAAATCCCGGAGAAAATTTTCCGGATCCTCTCAGCCACGGTCTCACCTTTGCCATGTTTATGAGGGAGGCGAGGACTTTGATGGCCTTGCCTTTACCATCTGGGTGATTCTGATCTTTTCATTCTTGCAATCCTTTTTAAATATTGCATTCGAAAGTGGCAAACAATGCCCCCAGAACAGGAGCTCTGATTTCTACGTTGTAGAGGGCTTCCAATTTATGGAATAAGTTATGTGCTATTCTTAGTGAAACTTGAGTGTTCCTTGCAAACTAAGAACATTTATTCTGACTTATTTTAGAGGAGTTGGACAGAAAAAGGATGTTATGGCTTTGAGGCAGATCCTCTCTGAATTTTGATATATGGGGTTAAATGCTGCACAAAAATACTTTAGGGGCATAAATACCTCTAAATTAATTTGAAATAGAATTTGTTTATGGGGTCCCTGCGGTGCTTTGTTCTTGGTTTTTCTTGGGGAGCGTTCTGGTTATTGTGCATAGGGATTGGACAGCTTTCTATCATGTTCAGTTCTTTCGGTTTGTGTTCTTTCTTTCAACACTTCTTTCTTGCTCTCCTGGGAGGATTTCTTGTCCACCACTGGCCTTTTCTTCTAAGAAATTTCTTAGTTTCATCCAAAAAAGAAAATGAAGTTCTGCATTTATTTTAAGCTTACTTGCTTCTATTTTATTCCTATTATGCTCTTAAATTTTAAGAGCTGTACCTCTATTAAGCCAGATGAAACCCAATATCTTCAAAGTCCTTGTCAAGATAGAGTGAAAGTGAAGCTGACAGCACTTTGGAGCATGGGGGGAGGTTTAGGCCACCGCTGGAGCTGGTCAATATAAGCTAATTTGCATATTCTGAATTTTGAATAAAAATCTGATATACATGCCCAAAAATGTTATCCAATCTATTTCTAGTAATTATTCTTTAAGCAGACTCTGAAAGTTAGGACATACAAACGATAGCGATTATTAAATTAAATTGAAAAATGTAATGATTTATAAATGCATCTATTTCTTACAAGAATATCTGAAAAGCAGCAATTTTTTGTTGCGAACATGAACCTTCATGGCTTCTTTTCATAGTTCATCTTGGATATCTACTAATTCATATCAATTTTATCACAATCTCTTAATATTTAAAGTAAATGGATATTATAGTTGTTAAAAGTTTTAATCCCTTTTTATACCTTACTTTTTCTTTATAATATTAGATCACTTGGCATGAGCCTTGTTTAGCATCTGAATTATTGGTGCTGGGGGTCTTATTGCTTTGAGAGTGCCTTCCCCTTTGGTGATCTGATTTTAATATTGATAATCTTAAGGTCATTCCTATACCCTTATTGTTGATGTTATGATTTTACAACTTCCAAAGTTTCAACTTGCAACTGCAGTGTAGCAAACTAATTTAAGGATATGATACTGTTGACATATTAAACTATATTCATGTTTGGGGAAATGGAATGTAAATGTAAGGAAAGTAATCTGATGGACCGGAAGTGGTATTTCCTTATTAGTTTCCACTTGCATCATTTGTACTATTGAAGTCTTGTCAACTAATCACTATTTTGGTTGACGGTTCAAAATTGGTATTGATTTTCTTGGAAGGTATGAAGTACATGGGTTTAATCCTTTTTCCCCTGATAATATTCTGTTGACTTGCATATTTTCTGTTTTTAAATTCTATATTTGGGATTTGACTATAGGCTGAAACTGAGAGGGATGCAGGAGGGAACAAAGGTGTTTCAGACAAGATGATTCGTCTAAAGATCTTTTCACCAAATGTTCTTGATATAACACTTGTAGATCTCCCGGGCATAACAAAGGTTCCTGTTGGTGACCAGCCTTCTGATATTGAAGCTCGAATTAGAACAATGATCATGTCATATATCAAAATTCCCGCCTGTGTCATTCTGGCTGTCACACCAGCAAATTCAGATTTGGCTAATTCAGATGCTCTTCAGATGGCTAGAATTGCTGACCCTGATGGTGGGTTTTAGCTTCCGTATGGTTAAAACTAATATAATTTAATTCCACAACCCCATGATATATTCTTACTGATTATTCCTTCTGTTGCAGGTAGTAGAACAATTGGTGTAATCACAAAGGTGCAGCATACTATTCCAACATTCTATGTCGCAAATGTTTCTTCAAAATTTGTTATACTCTTGTCATGTTTTGACAAAGTGTGGATCATATGCTGTGTAATATAGTTGGATATCATGGACAGAGGTACTGATGCCCTGAATTTGTTGCTTGGAAAAGTTATTCCTCTCCGTCTTGGTTACGTGGGTGTTGTTAACCGTAGTCAGGAGGTAATAATGTTATCCTACTATAACGAAGATGGTGTTTTGAGTAACTTTTGTATTTCATATGTTCTTTGATTTATGTTTGAGTACGCACAAGAAAGGACATATCACTAGGAAACATATATACCTACGATTAAAGTTCTTGTTAACTTGAAATGCTGAAATCTGATTTATGTTATTTCATTTAATTAGGATATTCTTATGAATAGGAGTATAAAAGATGCTCTTGTTGCTGAAGAGGAATTCTTCCGCAGTCGTCCTGTAAGAAAGCATCATTTCTTAGTCGTTTCTGCCAATTCATATGCTGAAAATTTTTTAACATATGTTATTTATAGGTGTACAATGGCATAGCAGATCGTTGTGGTATTCCTCAGCTAGCGAAGAAGTTAAACAAGGTAGAGGCTTTGCACTGTCAAAAGCTCAAATTATATTGTAGTAAGCACATGCTGTGATCAATCATAGCATGTGCTTACTTATTAGAAGAAACAATTCTCTCACTTCCTTTCTTTCTCTGTTAGGATGTTCAACTTTACATAGGGATGAAAAAATTTCTCCTTGGTATTATTTAGTAATTTCCTTTCACAACAAAAATGTAGGAAAAATGGCAGAGTTTTCTTGATCTTGAAATCTTATTTTAACAAGTCTGTAAGGGGCTAGGCTTTGAAATTTAGTTTCTGTCATTTCTATCATTCTTGGAAGTGAATACTTTGGTATCTGGTTGGCTACTTGATGACAAAATACTTTGGGCTCATCTATTTGCAGATTCTTGCACAACATATCAAGGCAGTGCTTCCAGAGTTGAGAGCACTTATAAGCAATGCACTGGTTGCTTTTGCAAAGGAGCTTGTGAGCTATGGAGAAATCACTGAGTCCAAGGCATGTATTAGTATTTGAATGTCTCTTTCTGAATTGTATTTTGTTACAGTAGATGACACCCACAATGTTGTCTGCTTTTGCTGGCCATTTTACCTTACTCTGTTTGACGGTTTCCCTTTCCCCCCGCCTCCAATAGGCTGGTCAGGGTGCTCTCCTTCTGAATATTCTTTCAAAATACTGTGAAGGTACCTTACTATTCCTACCTTCTGGATTCTTAGCTTCTTAACAACCTTTATGTCTGTTAACTGATATCCTATATTCCCACTAATACTTCCCTTCCTTTATAGTTTTTGGCTGATATTCCACATATAATTTAATCTACTAGTTTGGTAATGGTATTTCCAACCTTTTGTTGTTGAAACAGCATTCTCCTCCATGGTAGAGGGGAGAAACGAGGACATGTCTACAATTGAGCTTTCTGGAGGAGCTCGAATTCACTATATTTTTCAATCAATATTCGTGAAGTGCTTAGAGGTATATACATTTGTATTTACTTGAGAAGTTGTCATATTTATATTGATTCTATGCCAAAATCTGTGTGTGTATACCTGAATTAATTCTTTCTTGATCATGGTTTACTTTGTATGTGTTAACAACATGAAAGTAAGGAAAATCTTCTGCTTTAATCTATAGATAGTCACCAAATTGAGTGAAAGCTAGGCACAAGGAACTGGAACTTATAATTCTTTTTGCTACATTTCACATAGACATTGAATTTAGAGATCTAATCTGCATTAAAACATTTCTGAAATAATCGAATCTCTAGTTTGCGGCTTCCCCACTAAGGAATTTTACATATCAAAACCAGCATCAACTTCCCCCCAACCAAGTTGCTAATGTCTGAATCCGCGTTCATGTGTTTGTTGAATTTGCAGATTGGAAAATAGACACCAAAGATTTTTTTTTTTGTGTGTTTTATAGAATGTTTTGAAACTCATCCTGAATTCTTTAGCCATTTTAACAACAGAGTGGAGCAATCTGATCAGTATTTTTAGTGAAGAAAGCAATGACAATGGTTAAATGAACTATTGAAGTTGTTTATTTCATCCATGTGATTTAAGTGTTGGTGACCTAATCTATTTAGGATCATGATAAATATAGCTGAAATCATTAAATGATTTGCCATGATCAATAGGTCAACAACTGGAGTTTTTCCTTTCATATTCCATGGGATTTGTCTTCTTTTGGTCTCAAGAATGTTTTTCTTCATTTCGCATGGAATAACGGTCAATTGAGTCTTTTGGTAACCCTTTTAGTAATATGAGTATTTTTGCTTTTGTGCTATGGCAATTTTAATTGTATTGAGTATGGACGTCACACACAGGGTTGGATTCCCAAGAGCCACTAAGAATTCTAGACATTTTTTCTTTTTTGATAAATTCTTTTCTTCAAAATCTGTCATACATAACATGCAAAAATGCCGACACACCTGAAACCATTGAATTTTTCATTTCTCTTTAACTTTAGGAACATGTTTAACTTTATTATATAAACCTTTTTCTTTCATAGCACTGTATAAACCTTTAACAGTTAAAAATGTTTTTTTTTTACTATCGGATTTAATTAATTTATACCCTAAATCGTGACACAATTTTGAAATATCAGATGCCCTTGGAAGATTGCTCTATCTTGTATTGTACTGAATTTGAGCGAATCCCAGATCAGCTATTTCTTATTTAATGTAAAAAGTCAACACATGAGCTAAATAAACTTGGGAGAGGCTATTACAGGTCAAAACTCTCAGCGTTAGTTGTTGCACGGAAACTGGATGTGATACAACAGAATTGAAGCTTTTACATTGAGATAAAAAAACATATGCTAGTTTCTTTGAACTTGATGACATTAAATGAACCTCGCAGGAAGTTGATCCGTGTGAGGATTTGACTGATGATGAGGTTCGAACTGCCATACAAAACGCTACTGGACCTAGATCAGCATTGTTTGTTCCTGAAGTAGGTGTTGTTAAATTTTTCCCCCTTCTGCTATTTCTTGTAATATTGTTAATAAAACCTTTTGAGCTCAAATTATTCTGAATTCGTATATCAATTAAATGACTTTTCTTCCTCCTTGAGGACTTCTTTTTTTAATCTGTTTTCATGCAATTAGGTGCCATTTGAAGTTCTTGTGAGAAGACAAATAGCTCGGCTATTGGATCCAAGCCTTCAATGTGCTAGGTTTATATATGATGAATTAATAAAGGTAGGGTTTAATGGCTTGCCATTTCTGCTGCGCCTTACTTCACCATCCCATTAACATAGTTCTCTCTCTCTCTCTCTCTCTCTCTCTCACACACACACACACACACATATATATTCTTTTCAGATCAGCCATTGCTGTAAGGTGAATGAGCTTCAGCGGTTCCCTTTCTTAAGAAAGTGCATCGATGACGTCATAGGGAACTTTCTGCGAGATGGTCTTGAACCCTCAGAGAATATGATTGGGCACATTATTGAAATGGAGGTATGTGGGAATCCAGATTCTTTTAAACATAGAAGGGAGTTTCTATATATGCTTCATTGGTTCTACCTTCTCTACCTACTGCTATGTAATCATGTCATTAGTGGCCAATCAATGGTAGATATTCAACATGCAGTAAATTTACAATGACCATGCTTGGTCCCTGCTGTACAAACCCTTCTAAGAAAGTGATTTATGCCACATATGGTGCCCTAACTGGAAACCACTGACATGCTGCTAGTTGCTAATTAGTGTTGATTTTGATGGCCAGTCTATCAATGCAAAATATTCAACTTCTATCCATATTTACTAATTTAAATTTAAATTACACAAATTTGCAGATGGACTACATAAATACTTCTCACCCAAATTTTATTGGTGGAAGTAAGGCATTGGAGATTGCAATGCGACAGATGCAGTCTTCTAGAGTTCCTCCCTCAGTTTCAAGGCAGAGGGTATCCATAATTGTTTATCACATCATTAAGTTTCATCCATATACGTCTATGTAGCGGGTTATAATTTACTCTCACTCCTTAATGTGTCTCTCCACCCTTGTTAATATCCAATAGGATGGCATGGAAACTGAGAGGGGATCAGCTTCTGATAGATCTCGAGGTATTTTTACAAGGCAAGCTAATGGATTTGTGGCTGATCAGGTATGTAATTGTCTTATCATTTCTTTTGGGGCCTGGAATCGTCTCTTATTAATTAGAGTATATATTTTCCATCCATAAACAGTTTATTTCTTTAGCTTTAAGGATTCAAGATATTTACCAGAGCATAAACTACATTTTACACTTTGTGAATTGGTTAAAAATAATCGCCCCTGGGGGTAAAAAAGAGAAAAACATTTTAATCTCTCATTTCTTTCATTAACTCTTTATGATTTGTTTAATTGCCACCTACCCACTTCTAGTCCTAGTAAAAATTGTCCAAGATGATTGCCTATTTCATTGATGAAGGTATGTTTTACTTACACCCTGAATAATCTCATATTCTTTGGAGCCCATTCTTTGGATTAAGAGTGGAAACAAAAACTACAGGCTCAACTTCAATAACAGTCTCCAAACACTATGAAATGTTTTAAGCGACGAGGGAAACAAACTTCTAGCAATAAAATTGTTCATTTTTTCTGATCTACCTTCTACTATGTTAGCCGGAGATGCTTTCTTTCTGTGTGCTTTTGCTCTTAATTTCCTCTTTTCTGGAAAGGAAGACAGAAAGGAAGGGTGAGAACTTATTGTTTTAATACTTGCGTAATTATTTTTGTTAAAATATAGATGAGAACGACTGAGGTAGCTCAGTGATAACAAATTGAATGATGCATTATGAACCACAAGTGGTCAATTTGTTTTGTATCAAATCATGGGTTAGACTGTAATTTTCACTTTCACTTAATTAACATCCCGTAGTTATTACTTAGTATGAAACTAATTATTGACAGGTTGTTCGTCCTGCATTGGATGTTGAAAGGGCTGCAGCCTCTGGTAATCCTTTTTTACCATTTAAAAGTTCAAGTCTTCTGTGGATTGCTGATATTTCTTCATTCATATTATTTTTTGATTATTAAATACCCAGCGTGTTCTTTAGATTCACCAGTGAGTATTGACATTATATAAATTTTGTGATGCTCCTTTTTCTTTCCCAGGAACCTCTGGTAAATCAAGTTGGGTTATTTCATCCATTTTTGGAGGTGATAACCGTACATCTGCAACAGATAGTACAGCTAGTAGAGGACATAGTGAAACAGTTCATGTGATGGAACAGTCCTTCTCTATGATCCATTTAAGAGAGGTATATCTATTAATTTGTTAATTGAATCAATTGCTGCTTGCATGTAAATTTGCCTAATGTGCTTGGGTCCATGTAGCCCCCTCCTATCTTGAGGTCATCTGAGAGCAGTTCAGAGGCAGAAGCTATTGAGATTGCAGCCATGAAGTTGCTTTTGAGATCATATTACAACATTGTTAGAAGGAATGTTGAGGACTTCGTACCAAAAACAATTATGCACTTCTTGGTATTTCATGTCCTTCTACTAAGCTTCGCAAATTTCATGTTTATAAACTAAGATACTGCTTTGCTAATGGAGATTGGTTGGTCAGTTGCATTCATACCATAGGGATGGTAAGGATCAGAGTAAGTGGCTAATAAAAATATGTGATGAATCTGATGGATATCATCTGACCTATGAAGTATGGAAAATGGTGGGTGTATGATAAATACATTTGAAATCTATTAGGTGCTTCTTTTGTCTAATTCTAATAGCTGCCAGACGGCATTCTTTTTGTGCTTAAAATAAATGACTTCAACCAATATTTTCATCCATGACGTAATGTGTTTGTGTCTGTTTTTAAACCTTTTAAATATTGACTGTGTTCTCTATGTCCAATCTGTTGGAACTATTAAGCGTTTGTGTTCCTGAATTTTCAAAGCTATTCAATTCTGACAATGATGAACCATATGCAGGTAAACAATACAAAACGAAACCTGCACAATGTTTTTATTCAAAAGCTTTACAGGTGATTTCGTAGCCCTCTAAATTCATATAATTCTTCAAGGATTATCTGAAGTTCTCTTGTTGACTGTGTCTTGTATGTTGCCATTCAGAGAGAACCTGTTTGAAGAGATGTTGCAGGAGCCTTATGAGGTAGCTAGGAAAAGAAGGCATTGTCGAGAAATGCTCCAAATTTATCAACAGGCTTTTAATGTGGGTAGTCAGTAGTCTTATTTTAACCAGCAATAGCATCTAATTGGATTTCCATTCTGTTATATGCCAACTTAGGTTCTCCTCTAATTGAGATTGTTTTTCTGATGTTCTTATGATAATCATGATACATGGTGTTCATTTGCTTGATTGGGTACTCTTAATTGTGTTTCCATTCTGTCCCTGTTATTATTTTTAAGTCCACTGACTTTTAACGGAACAAAATTTGGAGTAATGAAATGTGGCTGGCTCCTGATAACTGTATTTCCTCTTGGTAGGAGTTGAATGGGCTACCTCTGGAAGCTGAAACAGTTGAAAGGGGTTACAGTTTGTGTAAACCAAATGGTCAGCCTAATATTCGTCGAATGCCAACTTCAACAGGTTCTGCAAGCAGTTCTAGAAGGTCTTCTCACTCTGGGGAGGTTCCATCGCCACTTCATGCTAATTCAGATTCCAATGGAACTGCGGGGCCGTTGGGCTATTAATCCGCTGTTGATTTATGAGCTGGCTGAGCATGGTTATTGAGCTGGCCAGGAGGAAGAAGTTGTTGTTATTTTTTCCCCTCCTTTTAGTGTTAAAAGTTGCCACTTTGTTTTACAAAAGGTTCTCTTTTCCCCCTTAATATAATAGCATTGGCTTTATTTGCAAGGCTCAAAAAAGAATAACGGGAGCAGATTTTGTCCCATTTGTAGGAAACAGTTTTTCAATAAATGATATGTATGTATATCTTCAAATCTTCTTCTGCTGGGATCTGATATTATTTAGAGTATTTTCTGTGGTTGAGTTCGGTTTTTAGTTGTTGTGATTCCCTTGAGGAGATAACAGCATACAACGTTATCATTGTTTGACTTAAAAAGTTTTAAAATGGTCAGGATGAATGAAGCAATTCAATGCCTTGATGTGTAAAAGGCCAGAGAGCAGCTTCACTGGTTGGTGGATTGTCCCAAAAAAAAAAAATTCACTAAAATATATAATACTTCTATAAAGCTTGGATCAATTCCTAGCATTTTGAAATTGAAATTTAATCTTTTTTAATTTTTAACATTGAATCTTTTTTGTCGTTAAGCAATTAAAAGAAACTGTCAAGTTAGATCTAAGAAAATGATGTGACATTTAACATGGGTTAAAATATTTAGATTATAATATGCAAAGCCTTCCGGTATTTGCATGCAACCTTGACGTTTTAAAATTCGACGTTAGTTGTTGGCAGGAAAAAAAAATCTATGTTCTTTTTTTTTTAGCTTCCTTTTATTTAATATCTATCAAAGTGAGCTTGTTGATAAGATGATTCTCTCTAAGATATTAAAATTAAAATTAAAATTGGAATAGCCATTTTACAATCTTATCATCTTTCAATCTGACAAGGCTATATTTTAATTAAAAGCAAAATATAACTTCCTTTTTATTAAAAATAAATTAAAAACAAAACCATGCTAACATATGAATGGCTATGGGTTGACGGGTTAAGTTGGAAATAACCCACATCAGAACCGGTTGATATTTTACCAACTAAGTCCACTATTTTTTTAAAAAGATTGGAAATAAAACCCGCGAGACTAATAATTATAATTATAGTTTTTTTGCCAACGGTTATAATTATGATTATTAGCCATAAGGCCAAAATCTTTTGACCTGAACCCATAAGGCCATAATAGATTCTTTTCTTTAGCCCAAAAATCCAATCCAAATGAAGCGATTTTTTAATTTTTGAATATAAAGGCAAATTTAGCCGTTTCATTTACAGTGGCACCGCATAATTGATCGGCTGAAATACTTTCGAATTCAGAAGTCGAATCACTACAACGACTAGACTGGGATTCTGTTAAGCTATTAATATTGTTCTCACGTTTGCCTACTTTGATTCCTCTGTTTGCTTTGATCATTTATTCTTCAGTGGTTGAACATCATCTCGCGTCAATCGCCACTCTAACAATGGCTTGGATCGCATTCAATTCCACCAACAACATCTACACTACACGACTTTCATGAATGGATCTATATTGCAATTCCTGAATTGTCGGTACGCAATTTTTCAGGCCTTTAGCTCCTCTGGTATTCTTTGATTTGCCCCCTTTTCTTTCCGCATTAGTAGTGGAACTCAGGTGTTGTAGTTTCATTTGCTTAATTCAATCCTGATAGGCAATGATTTCGGATGTTCGTATTGGAAATTCGTCTTCGTTAATGTGCCTCATTTTATTGCTTTGTGTTTCTATATATTTTCATAACTTGTCACTATATTGAAGATTAGAGACTCTACGTGTTGCGTATCGTAAATTTAATAGCTGGGTATGCTTTCTATTTAGAAACATTTTCCAATTGCTTTTCCCTGCCAGTATTTTCTGCGTGCATTTTCCTTCCTCGTCCACATCAATACTATTTTCCGTCCTGAATTTTCGCCTTCTACCGTTGCTTTCTTAGTGACACCTCCCTCATAGGCACGAAGTTCTCGACTATAAAGAAAGAGAGGGGTGATATAGCTCTCTGGCTTGATCGTGGATTTTGGAGGCAATTTAATGTGAACAGCTTTGGAGGAAGGGATTTTTTATTTCCAGTTCTGGATCTATGGAGACAATAGGATTCAATTATGAGAATATTATTAATTATAAATCATAGGATTTATTTGATTCCAATTTAGTTGGTTTTCTTCTTACTCTCCTCTGGTGAATTAAGAGGAAGGAATCCATATATCTAGCTGTCTAGTAAATTGATAAATTGAAATGAATTGATTCTATTGCATATGATTATGATTCTCTTTGATGCCAGAAAACGTGTACACATTTCAGTGAGCGAGCAAGCAAGGACTTGAGCTTAGTCCCTTCCTTCTCGATAAAAGTCCCTGAACTCAGAACTTTAAGTCGAACTCCCTTCTCTATTTCACTTCCTACATCTCATTTGCTTGAGGAGGTTAACTACTTCCTCTCCCGATTAGGCGCAGCTTATGAAGTTGGAATAGTTTTCTTTCTTAGTTTTTGTATTTTTTGTTATCAAGATAAACTTCGAACTCGTTTCATACTTCAACTCCGGTTTGCTGTTCTTGAAAATTATATTTAAGTGAAAGGATCTCGATTGATCATATCAGACTTATTACACGTCCAACACATTGTGGAGAGAAAATTAGTTGAAATGGTTCATTACTGTTTAAGAAGCTAATAATATTATCAATGGAATTTAGTGACAGATCTAAGGGGATCTAAGATCTTCAATGTTCATGATAATCGATTGGAGGGAAGCGTTCTAAAATCAATAAGCAACTGCACATCTTTGAAAGAAGTGTATTTAGATGGTAACTCATTTATAGGTATGCACTTAATACTTGTGTGTTTTCTTCTTTTAAAAAATATTTTTCTCTAAAATAAGATTTTATTTTTCATCATTTCATTCATACAGTTCATTCATAATTCATATGATAAGGCTTACAGTCCCAAAATAGCAAATAAAGCTAAGATCATCAACAAATGAAACTATTATGTTTTCAAACAAAAACTAAAGTATTTTCTGTTAATTACATATATTATTTATATGGTTGTGTTCGACACAGGATTTATTGGCAATGCACAAAAAATTTACAGTTAAACTTAACAAACTCACATGCAATTACGAGAAGGTATGCAAATTTGGTGGTTATAGGCAATTTGTTAAGGTATATACGTACTATATTATTATATGCAACTAGCATGACCTGGCTTTTTTTCCCCCCTTTATAAGTCCATTCAATCTTTTTCAAGCAGTAGTTGCTAGTAAATTATATTTGGATACCAGCCCCTTTACAAAATGAGATTATTATGTCTTATTTTTATTTATTATTTTTTCTTAATATATATATCTAATAGAATAAATTTAAAATGACATTTTCTTCTCCATCATTTCGTTAATGTTGCATATACACATATTCGTAATGGTGGTTTAAATACAGTTAGTGATTTACAATCCCGAAATATCAAATGACTATTGAAAACAAAATTTCTCAAGCACTCTGCACCATATCATTTATACTTTGTTCAATAAAAGGCCTCGATATCATGCATGATATGCCCACATGCCTCACTAGAAAAATAATTGTAAAATAATTTAGTTCTATATTATCTCATTCAAAATGAGCAAGTTTTCAATGTTATTGGAAAAAATATAAATTTAAATCTTGTACATATTAACTTATGGCATGTAAAGAAAATAATTCATAAAAAAAATAGAAAAATAGTATTTACTAATATTATAAATTGATAACACACACATGCATGGTACATCAATCTTTTTCTTTTTTCTAATTCTTCTAATGCACCTGTATTTTCTAAAAACGGCATTTTGTTTTTCGTCTTTTCAATTATATTGGTCATCCAAATTAATAGAAAAAAGTAAGATGATAAAAAAAAAATAAAACAACGTGATAATATTTGTAAATTTGTGAAGAGGTATAGTTTTTAATTTTTCAAATTCATTAATTTCAAATTAAATATCGTTGCCAATAAAAATTAATTAATTATTCAATACACTGATCATGTCACCGCAAGTGTAATTTATGGTTTTCATAATTTTTTATTCTGAAATTTTAAAAAGAGTTAAAATTAATGTAAAAATATTTTTTTCTTAAATATTTTGCTCTTCTTAATTGGAATGAGTATTACTTGAAATTCTTTCGTTATATTTAAAGTTCTCGACTTATTCTTAGGCATGCCATAGTTAGTAATATTTGTAAATTTTTGTATGATAGGATAAGTTTAATATTGAAAAACAGAAAAGTTTGCAGTTGTGCTTTTTTCCTGATTTATGACACACACATATATAATTTAAAGAACTGAAGAATTTGCAATAGACAAGAAATTTATTTAAATAAACTGAGTATAAAATATCAATTTTGAATAATTATATATAAGTCAATTTAGAAATTTAAATACAATTCAATAAACTCTAGGTCAATCATATTTGAGCTCAATATATACGAGATGTTTTAAATAGTCAGACAAATAATTAAATTGTATTATTTTAAGTCATTCATATTGAAGTGCAGCTATTCCGTACGTTCAATTCTTTATATAAAATTAACTAAAGCATAAAACTTTTCACCAAGAAACGTGTAATTTTTTTGAGTATATTGCCTATATATATATATATTATATGCAAACAATATTATTTACTTTATTTTCTTTTTAAAATTCGTACAGTTATGCAAATGTGAGTACCTATCATTATACATGTACTTTATGCATATTATACAAAAACATTATGAACTGTTTTATTTTTCTATTTAAATGCCAACCTCTTTATAAGCATTGAGATTATAAAATAAATTTAAAATGAGATTTTATCTTTTCGTTTCATTAATATTATACATATGTATGATGGAGGCTTAAATATAGGTAGTGATTTACAATCACAAAATAACAATGATTTTATTTTCCTTTTTAGATATTTTTTTGTATTAGAGTAAAACTAAAATGAGATTTTTTTTGGGGCCATTTCATTCATGTTCTTCATTCATAGAATGTGTCTTACATTAAGCCTCTTATTACAATGCCAAAATAGGGGGGGGGGGCTAAGATCGTGAAGTGATGGGATCACCGAATATTTAAAATGTGGAAAACAATTTTTCAAAAAATTTTACTCTTAATCTGCCGCATCATTTATATACTTTGATCAATAAAATGGCTTCCATATGTAATTTTTCCAGGAGTCATTCCAAGTGAGATTGGA